ACATCTAATTATTTATCAATTACATAAACATTACATCATTAATTATTTAATTAACCAAAAAAATTACATCTTTATTAATAACAAATTAATTCTTAAACAAAACTATTAAATATAAACTAAGCAAACATGCATTGCATGTTGCTTACACCTAGTGTGTGTGTGTGTGTATGTATCTTTATTTTTTTATATATTTATATATATAAATTAAAAATGTATAAATATATGTGTATGTATATGTTAAAATATCTGATTTTAGAAATTTCAAAGTTGTTATCTTATTTTTGAAATGGTATGTTGGATAGATGTTATATATGAATTTTTCCCATTAAAATTTACAAGATAAATAATCCACTGGGAATATTGGTCCATTTTCAGTTAGATAACTTAAATCATCACAAATGGACGATGGATATACTCAGTCCCATTACGACTAGACAAATCTATAGAGAAGCACGCCACCATATTCTGGGCTACCATATTTTCTCCTCGAGGAATAGAGCAGTAGGAACCACAATTCACATCGACCATCAAAGAAACAATATATGTTAAAACTACCGCATTTGGTGCACAATGAAAATTCGACTTGACACCCTGCACTATCCGGAGAGAATATCATTCATTGTCAACAATGAGTACTTCAAAATGTAGCTTTTCTAATAACACGGTTACAAGCACTTAGATGTCACCCTTATAATTGGTTTGTTAAAAAGGGTGCTCAACGTGCTTATAAATCCACAAAGTAGGTCTTCCATGGTTACAGGAATAGTAGTAGTCATCACACCACACTTTCAGAAAGAGAGAAGAGAAGTATGCTAGTATTAAAACTGGCTGGTCCAACTATCACAAATACCGAAAATAGATAGGTAAAGTTTGTTTGCAATCTCTCACCATGATTATAATAGAACTTTAAATGAATCTGCAAGCAAAGGAGAAGAAAGATGATCGTCAAGATCATTCTCACAGTTAGTTTTCGTAAAATATACAACGCCCTTTTTCTATTTACGGTGCTGAAATGTCTGCGTGTATGTAAGTGCAGGCACATATTTACAGTTGATATTTCAAAACTACAGGCAGGCACAGACATCGTGAAATATCTTTGATTTGCAAGGGAATTGACAGCAGCAGATCCCAAACATGTGGACAAGGCTTCTTCCAGCAATACTGTATCCACTCAGCATCAACAATTAGCAATCACAGCATGCTTCCCACCACATCGTCATTGTGAAAACCGCTGACCTGAGATAAACTTAAAAGGCAACAGTTTAACAATACTGCCAAGTACTTCAAAAACTGTTGTTGGAGTTAAATTGTTGATAAATGAATTGAGCTTTCAGGTGTCATGCATATTTAGAGAAGGAAATGGAGTTGCCGATTACATGGCTAATAACTTGGGGATGGAGACGGAGACTACCCAAATATTCAAAAGGGAACATGCAAGGTATAGTTCAGAGTCTCATAAGACTTGATAAGATGCAAATTCCTTAATTCTGACAATAATAAAGGTTAATGTTAGTGATAAACCTCTATAGCCATTTTTGCAAATGGAATTAATACTTCCAAATTTACATTATTAAGGTTTTCATTGACTATTTGTAATGGAGGTAGTAACTCTAAATTTAGCTTATGCAAACCTCCACATCCTCTCTGTAATTATGGAGGTAAGGACCATACCCCCCTCACATGTACTTTATTATTATTAATCTACAGGTACGGGTCTGCCATTCCCCACAATTAGCAAAAAAAAAAAAAATTCCAATAAAAGAAAACGGCGTATTCAAAAAATAGGAGATTATATGCATTCAACTGGAAATGGTTGAATTTTTTTAACAAATTATTGTGTGTGCCAAAAGCTGAATGCTAACTTGTAGAACAACATCAGCATTTTAAAATTTTTATTCACACTTGGAATCTTGGAAACAAGTAAAAGAAGAAACCACCCCTGATGGCTGGTAAATATGCCTACACATGAAAAATAATAGTTTTTATACTCCACTCATCAAAATACCACTTTCATTTGCTAAAAACCACGGATCCGGCCATCCAAAAAGAAAAACACAACCTGCTGCGGCCCACAATGCGCAATGAAATTGGAAAAAATGGAAAAACACAAGAGTTTTCAATACTTCCAATTTGTCATCATATGGGACACAGGTTATTCTGCCCTCTTACCTTACATGAACTCCTAAAGTGGAAGTCTGACATCAAATTAAACTCCTGGGGCTATTGGCTCATTTCTGCGTATGATTAGATCCACTAGTGCTTTGTACACTTCAGTTCATGCTGGTGAAACAGTTCTCAAATTTTAAAACCTTAGCACTCAGGGAAAAATTCAGACCTATCAGTTACATGGTTTAGAGTTTAGACTATACCATCTTACTTACATTGATTTATCCACCTGCCATCAGAAATAAACGTATATCATCCACATTCCAGTTTGGATGCTATTAAATGGCATATAGCATGCACAGATCTTATATTTTCTTTGATGGGTTAGTCCATAACATCAAGAACGACTCTATTCATTTGTAGGATGGTCTAATTTGATAGCAGCAGCTTCATAGGATTAAGTCTATATTTGGCTCATGTTTATAAAAATTCCGATCACTTTTTATTCACGCATTTCGTGGGACACAAGTACTACTCACCTATCCACTACTTATTTCTTTTATAAACAAAACCGTTTATAAACACTTCCCCATCATGCTTTAAGTTCATTGAAACGTCTCAAGTTGCGTCTTTTAGTCTCAAACCAGATAAGAATGAACCAGTTGACTCAACTCACATATGCCTTTTGAAATGCTAATATCACAATAATATCATACAATTGAGTGTGTTCTTTCAAATTCCACTAGTATTGGCTGGAGTTCATCTGTGCAATTGCCTAGAGATGAGTGAGGGCAATTACCCAGTTAGTGCAGGCAACTTCGACAACTATGCTGTCAACACAGATAACTGAAAATCCAGTGAACAGGAGAGGAGGCTGGAGAATGGCAACCATGAAATATAGAAGGCCAGTGCACAAAAAAAAATCAGTTTGAACGAGTCTGGACACAATAAAGAAGTCAATATTAAAAGGTAATAGACATTCCGTAAACCAGAGAAGAAGGTTTTAGACCTTCTACTCAACTAATTATGAGACATATTTTCAGATATAAAAGAAGTGCCCCATGAGACAAAACATGTATATAGGGAAGGACAAGAATTATGCAAAATTAGGAATTGAAAGCTAGCCTTGTCATTTCATTCTTGGTGAATGTTGAAGATTGCAGCACTAATGCTTTTACAATCAAGCTCCATTATCTTCATCCAATTCTCAAAATCTCCAATTTCCTGTATATATAGTCCATAAAAATCTCAAGAATCAGTGACTTATCCTATGTCCCATTCAACCACAAATCCTTGAGTAAAAAAATGTGCAAGTCGCAATCCATATTATTTTAAAATTCCAACTCACCATTATCCTCACTTTTTCTAAGCTAAACCTGGTGGTAGTTAAGTGATTATAGTTAACTTGATTTTGTCAATTTAAATTAATGATTCCTTAGCATTTATAATCTCTCGTAGATCATTCAAGTATGTATTCCAGAGAAGAAGAATTGTCATGATTACACAAAATGATCAAGCCCAAGACATAGAAGTGCTGAATTTAATAGACTATTGTTGGTTGTTTGACAAGCCAGGAGTCAATATAATGGAGCAAAAAAATCTTTCTATTTAGCTGACATTTCTTGTTCCCAGTAATAGGGATGAAACTCCGTCCAAATATGAGGGCATCATATGATAAATATCATAGTAAAATTATAAAACCGGCAGTGCTGCAAATTTTCAAAATTTCCCTCATTCCCACTTGCTATCGGTCTATCATTTTCTTTTCACTCGATTGTAAAGTGATAAAATAAGTAGCATCCGTAATCTGTTTCTTAATAACTACATTCATGCATAAAATCACAAATTCAACAACATCAACATGTTAACCTAACTTCCGAAACTAAGTGGACACATGAAAATAAAAATTTCATAAATGTCTTTTACTTCTTCAAGTCATGTCTGTATGCACATATGCAAAAGCATATTTCGGAAGAGTGTATAAATGGTTTAAATTATAAATAAATAGAAATGTCTGGTGGTAAGTGGATACCCTCGAAATCTGTGGATAAAAAGTGAATTGAGTGTTTATAAACAGATCATATGAATTAAACATACGCTAAGAAGCATCTTTTATCTTGGTATATAAGTCATGTAAGTTTGAATATATAACTTATATAATTAGAATGCAAAAGGAAAATAAGAAGAAAGAATCGATCTTGCCATAGTTCTACCTATATTGAATCCAAGATCCAAACTGAGAAGTTAATCTAATGCAATCATCTCACCCTAAGTTGTTTAGGTCAAACCGTTGATAAATATTATTCATGATTTTGACAATTTTGGTAGCATGCACGTACAGAATATCCAAGAAGTTGCGCTTAAAAATAAAACCATCACATTTCATGCACTAAATTACAGTGGAAGGAGACAAAAACCAGTATATTTATCATTAAAAAATCGAGCGTATAAAGTATAAACCTTGACAGCAGTGTTAATAGCACGAGAAACCGTGAGCCACTGATCAGTCTGTTTCTTAAATCGCATAAGCCTAGCTGTCAATGCTCGAATTTCCATTTCAATTCGCTTCTCGTTTATGAAGACCTCTTGCACACCCTCATTCACTGCATTCACCAACAAATCTGAAACACGTGTGGCAGTCTGGATCGCTTCTTTCTTTGCTTTCTCTAATTTTGTTACAAACAAACCAATATGAAATGTGATTAAACTCAATGCCATCATCATAAAAACCCAAAACTTAACAATCTCAAAGATGAAGCACAAATTCGGTGCATATAACTGACCAGTGCGTTCACGTAGTATGGCAGAAGCATGATTGTGATCATTGATCATTTGACGCAATGAAGCTTCAAGACCTACAGGTTCTTCTTGATACGCTCGGTCCATCTCTAAATAGGTTCACATGCGCAGTACAATCACAAAAATTAGAAAACAGATCAACAAATCAGTTTTGTTCTTAGCGTATTTAAAATTACATGAAACTATGATACGATCTTGTAAAAATCAGCACATTTAAAGGGAAGGAAGCGAAAATTCACAAAACCAAATTAAAATCTTGGATTTTCGAATTAGGAACAAAATTATATTCAATTTTAATTTGATTTTCGGCATTCCAATTCCCATTTTTCCATTTACAATATATTCCCAACAAAGGAATATGATTAATCAAAGTAATACTGAATAAAACCAACCTGGAAGCTTGAGATGTATTTGGGGATGGGTTTCGCGTTGTGCAGAATGAAATTAAACCGGGTTCGAGTGAGTGAACTAGAACAAAGTTACAAACGGTTCAGCTAATTGTAGGTTAAACCGAACGGTTGGAAGTAAATTTAATTAGCAGTCAAAGTCCCAAACTTTCAATTTAGGTACAGTTAGGTCTTTATTGGGCAGAAACAGTAACTTCTGCTGTTAAAAAGTCAAATAACTTATTTTTACAGGCTTCTTTTCCTCATCATGAGAAAAATAGATAAAATAAAGGAGCCAAAAATTAGAAAATTGTATTGACGTGAGAAGCAGGTAACAAATGTTCCATGAAAAACAAAATTTCATAGATAAAGACAAAACTTCGTCACCAGCTAATAATCAATATTTCCACGTCTGATTGACCTTAGGGTCTGTTTGATTGCAAGAATGAAATTTGGATGAAAAGAAAATAAATTCTAGAGAAATAAATTGCCAAGAACTTTTATATTATTGAAAATTTTTAATTAATTGTATTTGATTGATATAATTTTTTATCTAGAAAATATTGAAATTTTTAATCTTTTGGTATTCATTTGACTTTGTTTTTCATGAAAGTTGTTCATTAAAGGAATATAATTTGTTATAATTGGGAATAGAATTTGTTTTAAAAAAAAAATTGTCTAGAAAACCAAAAACCACCAAACTCATGGAAAAACCAATTCAAGGAGACTATGGAAAATGGGGTCACGTGATGTATAAGTTGAAAAACCAATTGCCTAGAAAATTTTTCCTATTAAACAGCCCAAAAGGTGGAAAATGGAAAATAATTTCCAACTTCCACGAAAAACTCTTCCTATCAAACAGGGCCTTACGTCTTTTTTTCCAATCCAGAAGGCAAGTCCTAGAAAAGGAAAATTGTATAAATTTAGGTATATTGTAAAAATCTCGAAAAATACAGGGGAAAGCGGTCTCCTACACCGGCTTATTACTACTGGAACTTTAATGCTAAACATAATTATGCTCCAAAACCGCGAGGATGGCCTCTCACATCTGTTAAGTGAACCAAATCAAGCAGAGTTCTGCTCGGTCGAACACTCGCGCATCCCCTGGCATATGAATGCCCTCAAAAGGGGAAAAAGAGCATTCTGTCTGTGCATTGTTTCTCATGTAATGTTGCCATCGCTACTGCTAGTTCGATTCTTGGAAAAATGCCTTCACGGATTCATAAGTCGACCAGCAAATCGCAGCTGCAGGAGCATGGAAGAGCATTCTAGGAATCCATCCTCTTATTAGACCACTGTAACCATCTTTCTTGACTATCGTTTGTATAACATCCCTGATTGAACCACTGGCAAATCTATCACATCCACAGACACCCTGCAAAAATTGAATTGATTTAAGTAATGTGTTAAAAGGCATAATTTGAATAAATAAGATTGTTTCCCTCTAAATATTTAAACTTTTAGATGAGATAATTCAACGTGATTCCAGAGCATTAGAGTTCAAGTGCACTCATGTCAGGCCTCACGTGAGAGGGTATGTTAAAGATATAATTTAAATAAATGTCTTCTCTCCAACCACAAACTTTTTAACAAGAAAAACTGTAGTTTGAGATTATTCAACATTTCCAAAATCATTCGGCATAGGGAATGCTACTTAAGAGCACATGAAATTCCAGAATATTCATCAATGCAACCATCAACTTATAGAATTCAAATAAAACTACATAAAGGTATACACCGTAGACTCTGATACTTTTGGTTAATTGAAGAGAAACTGAAATGACATTTTCACCAACGAAGGGCACCATTACATGATTATACTTCAAATATTGCTGTATAGTACAATCCCAAAATATAACAAGTGACTTTGGTTTAAAACACACAGCAACAATCAAGTTATCCATGCTAGAGAAATTGTAAACAAGTAAAAATGAAAAACGGGTAAACAATAGCGGAAAGAAACAAAACTCAATTTCCACATCTCAATTTTTCTGTTGTAAGGTTTCTCATGGGAATTCCATTTTTTAGCTCACCTGGCTTCTTAAATTTCTAGTTTTACATATTTTGTCCTCATTTTCAGCCCCTGTTTATGCGGTTCCTCTTCTCTTACATAGTGAGAATGGATGACAGCATTCCATTCAGATGACTTATATGAGAGTGCTCAAGTAGAAAAATGCTTCATTAAACTAGGAGTCCTAAAAGGCACGTGCATTACATGAATAAGCACCTAATAGTAATGGAGAATATCTTGTAAAATGCCCCACCTCTTCCATCAGGTGCTTATTACACAAATTTCTCTGACCAAAGAAATAAGATGAAACGAAAAACCACTGAACTTTGGTCTTACCATCTCTGAAGAAAACCAGATCTATATTAAGGCATTTTCTATGACTAGGCCTGTTTCATTTTTTTTTTTTTTTTTTAAATCTAACTACAGATTTCCAATTTCGATAAAGTCTCTGAAAATAAAAATAAAAGACAACACCTTCAGAAACATAGTGACTTGAATTTTACAATAAAATGGAGACATTCTATCTATCCAGTTTTATTCAAGATAATATCGGGAATTCAAAATGCACTGATAAATATCTGCTTTTATCATTCAGTAAAAGATAAGATACCATAAAACTTATGCATCAGATACCACACGTGCTACAAGGTGGGCCAGATAAGCCAAGGTTAAGGATTGAAAGGCTTGAAAAATGCAGGGTAACCTAATACCAATTGGGAACGCCCATAAAGAAACCCATAGGTATAAATAAGAAGGTTTTAGGAACTTCAATTTTTTCCTCTGTTCAGGCTTCAAATCCCTGAACAAAATGAAGAAAAATGTACAGAATAAAGCCTGAATGGAGGAATTGAGGATGAAATGCTTTTAGTTTGTTTTTGGTGTTTGTTTGTGTTCCGTGATCTATTTTCGTTCAGCTTTTTATATGTAGATGAAGACCAGATAGGAGAAAGAAACAAACCTAAATTTTTTCTAGTCCAATTAGATGTCTTCTCCTTGGTATTATCTGCCTTGTATAAACTATAAAAGCATCGAACTCGTGAGTTATTAAATGACAATACGGGGAAAGAGTGACTAGGTATTAATTAGGTATAATTCAAAGTAGAACTAATTTAGTTTTAAACAAAGTAAATCTACTGTGCAAGCTAGTAGTTCAGAAATTGATGGAAAAGTATATATGAAAGAACTAAGATTAACATAGGTACCATATCGTTCTTATTAATTTAGAAAAGATAATCCTATGATCAAGAGAACTGTTATTGAGGGTTTATGGATAAAAAATAACCTTCTATTATATCCGGGAATAAGATCTAGTGAGATACCAGTATAGAATGTTCTATTACTACAGGCTTGCATCAAGGTCTAGCCCTGATATCCTCATCTTTTTGCTTTAATTGTGGATGACCTTATGACCTATCCAAGGAAGAGATACCAGTATAGAATGTTCTATTACTAGAGGCTTGCATCAAGGTCTAGCCCTGATATCCTCATCTTTCTGCTTTAATTGTGGATGACCTTATGACCTATCCAAGGAAGAATTGCAGCTAACATGCACGGATACGGATACGTAATTCGAATAGGATACGATACGATACGTGTAAGCTAATACTATTTTAAAAAAATAAAAAAATAGGAGCATGACAAAATTCAACATAAACAGAAACGTAATAATAAAAATAAAATAAAATACTGTAACATTTTATCTTAATCATTAATTGTCTCTACTTTATTTTCTTCCACATCATCAACTTCTTCATTATCATTAAAAATTAACTCTCTCCAACTCTGATTGATTAACAACTTCAAACAGTCCAACACCTTGAAGAATATCAAATGAGTCTCCGACAATGTTCCACAATTTGAATTCTTCTCTTGAATAAAGATCTAATTTTCTTCATAAAAGACGCAAATAGCTATGAATGAAAATCAATTCTTAAGCTCGTCGTGAAGTTATTTTATCCCTTCTCATAGACTGCACAAAAAAGTATGTACTCCAATTTCTTTCAACATGAGAAGGTTGCACCAGAAGTATTAAATTTCTCCATGTAAATAAATAAAATATAGTGTCCAACATGCCAAACTTGAAGTCAATCCAGTTGCACTATATAGCACTTCCAAACTTTATGGAAGCCATGGAAGGCACAAAACAAATCTATTGAGAGAGAGAGAGATGAAGGAGTAAGAATCAGTTTTAACTTTTTAAGTATCATAAAAAATAATAGATTTTTTCTCGAATATCAACAAAAATTTAACCAATCCATGTACATGTTTACTCAGATCAACAACTAACAAAAGTTCAAACATATCCCCCTCCATTCCCCCCACTCTCCCCACACTTTTTTAACTTTTACTACACCCAAAATTCATAAACATGTGACTGAACAAATTAATTTATCGCACCATCAAATTCGGAACTTATCTAAACAAACAACAAAATGAAACCAAGACACTTAACTTGAAACCTAGGGAGAAATACACAAGAGCAAGTCCGAATTGTGACAAATGGAAACAATTATATATGTTAGGATCTTCCTACAACAAATAGAAGACCTAAAATTAGTTGAAATATTGATAAAGAAAACTTATAAGATCGAGAATATGATTTTGGGACGTAACAGAATCAAACTCACATGATGTGTGAAATTTGCAAATCTACAGACACAACTCACATCGAATCTAAAAGTCCAGTGATT